CAATTGAGCCTAGAACTCTGATGGGCAGGTATTTGTCACATTGTAAAATGATTTTAGAACGAGCCATGGACAAGAGAATTCCTATAGAGATATCGAAATATAGAAGAAAGCCAAAATTCTTCAGATTCTACTTATTCTTTTTCCCACTTTTTCTTCTGCTTTTGAAATTTTGTAACTCATCGTTCTAGTTCACAAGTGGTTTTTCACCAGCTGAAGAGGAAAGCATAGAAGTGGTCCCGAAAATGTTAACGTTGAATAATGAAAAATGCAGAATGAGAGTTGAAAGCTTTTGTAAAAGTATCATCATATAATTTACTAGCACCAGCATACAAGTGACGATGAATCAAAGCTGCTCTCGGCATAACCAAAACACTAGAAGCTCAGAAATCGGCACCTCGGCCCTAACCGAGTGGAATAACTAATGCTCGGCTCGCCTTCAGCCCAGCCCTCTTCTCGGCTCGGCTGCTCACCTCGAACGCATTCGTGTATTAGGGATTAGCCAAAGCGGGTTGGCATGTATGTGTTGTCGGATAGCAAGGATACCAATGAATCACTGTCAGCAAACATAATTTCGTATTCATAGCTAGTTATTCGAGCAACGATTACCATAAGAGCAGACAACAAATCGTTCTTGGGAAGAAAACAACGCTTATATATAGGAGAAATACCTGCAGGAAAAAAAAAGAGATGCAGGTTTCTAGAATAATGGCGTCTCAGCGCAGTTATACCTTCGCGAAGTATTCCCATTTGAGTTTGTTTTGTCATAGGACAGTGAGCTTTCCTCAACTTTCTCATCTCTGTCAACACTTATTGTGAATAAATTACTTTGCCAAAAGGGCAACATATCCGTTTTCAAACGACATTCCATAATTATGCGAGAGATACCACTGCGTTCAGATAAAAGGCACGTCCTTAGAAAAGGATTTTTGCCGGAACCTATTGGAGAAGGGTTTTGTTGATGTTCAGAAAAGGAAGCAAGGCTGCGAATTTCCTTAAGCAGGGCTGACAATGAACCTATATAAACCGTCATAGCATTGAATCAGCATCACTTTCAGATACTCTTCCTTTACAGAGTTAAAACTCATTAATTACGGAAGGTTATCATCCTCTGTATTGTCTTCGAAGGCTTGAAAAAATTTCTGATTCCTTTAAGAATTTGTCATGTCCGTCAAGATGCCAGGTTACCGTATC